ATCTAACAAGATTTTGACGACTCCTGGCGCATCGCTGGCGAACTTCATTGTGCTCTTTGCATTACTTGGCCCCAAAGATCATGTTATCGTCCAGTACCCCACTTACCAGCAACTATACTCCCTTCCAGCTTCCCTTGGAGCGCAGGTCAGTTTGTGGAAGGCAAAGGAGAATGATAATTGGAACCTCGACATTGAGGAGTTGGGAAGCCTCATCCAGCCCAACACAAAAATAATCGTCCTAAAGTAAGCCTTCGTTCTCTCCCCATGCCCAAAGTACACCATCAGATAAACTGATCAAGCCTAGCAACCCACAAAATCCCACCGGCGCAATCATCCCCAGATCAAGCCTCGAAAAGATCATCCAAATCGCCAAAAGCCGCTCCATAACAGTCTTCAGCGACGAGGTCTATCGTCCTAGTTTCCACTCCATCGCTCCAGGAGACCCGGACTACCCGCCCTCAGCCCTTTCCTTTGGTTATGAAAACACAGTTGTTACCAGCTCGCTATCAAAGGCCTACGCCCTCGCCGGAATCCGAATAGGATGGATCGCATCGCACAGTAAACCCATCCTCGACCTCTGTATCAATGCTCGCTCCTACGCCCTCATAACAGCCAGTCAAGTCGATGAACAGATCGCATCGTTCGCACTGAGCCCCTCCTGCGTCTACAATTTGGTGAAACGTAACACAATGCTAGCAAAGAATAACCTTGACATTGTTCAATCCTTCATTGAGGAATTTTCGTCGAGCTGTCAATGGGTGAAACCAGTTGCTGGTCCAATCGGGTTCATCAGATTTACTACGTCCGGTCATCCGGTAGATGACGTGGAATTCTGCACAAAACTCCTAGCAAGGAAGGGCGTACTCCTTGTGCCGGGGAGAAAATGCTTCGGGGATGGGAGGAATTTCAGCGGCTATGTACGCCTTGGGTTTGGTGGGGATACGGAGGCTTTGAGGGCGGCGTTGGATGCTTTGAGGGAGTTTATGCGTGAAGATTACGAGTCGTTGGCTCTGGCAGATTAAGTATGACTCGTCTCTGTGTCTTCCTACTATCTTTTCCGTAGGTTTTCTCTTTTACTTTTCTATTCGCACTGCTTCATGCCTGGTAAATGCCTGTGCGAGTTTGTTCGGTTAACCTTTCTTTTCCTATCCAGCAACCTTGGCTCTCCCACATTGCTACTATTTAAAACACAAGAATATATATGTGCCTACACGTACTTGATTTTCTAGTCCGACCACAGCCTTCCTATTCAGGGCACCGCCGCTTTAGTGAGGGCGTTCGGGGGTCTGCTCAGTGAGCAGGCACGTGTGCTCAGGGGGGGGGGGAGGTACCCGACAATGAGGCCGAGGAATGACAATAAAGGAGAAGAACAAGTTGTTGAGGCCATTTTGTATGTACCAGGTAGTAGCTCACACAATAAGCCAACTATAAAAACCCTCGTTTTCATGATATCTCCCGCTTCAACAAGTCCACAAGTGTCATTGACGCTTCGACCCATAATACAACAGCAAATGATACAGTCACCACATACACACCTAAGGCCCCTCCCTCGGGCGGCAGTACCACCGCACAGATTTCACGGGCATGTCAGAGGGCAACATGATGTGGTTACACGCAGACCCTGCACTTGATACCAGGTTCACGGGACTATATCCCAGAGTATCACACCCAGACCCATGATAGGTGTCTAGTATGGGCTCGTACCCTGATTTACAGCGCAGACCCTTCGGGTTGTCGGACATGGTGAATGCGTATGGGAAGACATCCCCGGTAATGTTAACACAGTCCTTGTGTCGAAAGGAGATCGGATCCCCGATGGGGTTGTCACACTCCGAGCTGTCGAAGAACTGTAGTGTGTAGTTGCGTTTCGCGGCCAGCGTGAGGGCCGAGTTGGCGAGGAGGAGGACAGCAGCAAGCTATATAGATCGACGAGGTTTCGTGAGTGGATTTGTTTCTGTCTAGGTGGGGGAAGATCTATATACCTTAAAGTTGACCATGGTGGATGATAGCTCGGTTGGTTGTCTGGTTGCGTCTTTGTTCAAGATGGGAGGGATGATGCCGATGGATGGGACCGGAGAATTTGAGCTGTATTTATACCTCGCTGAGCCATCCTCCGACGCAAATGTGGGAGGTATCTCTGGGACAGCAGAAGATGATCTGTATCCACCTTCTTAGATGATCGCCTCGAATCTGACCCGTAGTATGGAGAACACTGCAATAGTATGTGGAGTCGGGGAGAGTACGCATGTACCGACGAGGCACGAGCTGCGGCATAAATCAGCTGAAAGTCTGGCACAACTGAAGGGAACTCTCCACTCTCGACGTATCGCAGGATGCATCAATTCAATAGTGCAGAAATATGGCAAGATCGCCGGATCCACGGGGTCTTGGCGGTACCCATAAATTCCGCCCTTTGGCTGGATAGTTCAGATATGTACGGAGTACTTGTCGATCAACCCGACAAAACCTCCATTCAGTGGAGACAATCAACATAGATCTGGTAGCGGTCATCGGAGGGAATGCAGCCTCGCGTGCTTCCAACATCCATTAAAGAACTTTTCAAGCTTATCATATAATTCCCCGCCGTAGAATTAGCCCGGAAGACAGTAAGAAAGTCAATATGGTATGTCGACCTTTAAGGACTAGACTAACAGTACTAGCCCAGGGCCTACAGCCTGCATGAACCGGAGTGAGGAAAGCTCCTCGGGTATATTGAAGACCTCACTACTGAGCTTAATAAGACCACCCTTTACAAACCCAATCTACCCCCAAGAAGTATGGCCCGGGAAATCGGCTGGTCTGCAACAGAACTTCCTCACGCCCGCCCACTCTTTCCGTATTCCCAGTCAGAATGGCAATTTCCTTTGCAGACCGGAGCAGATCCATCCCGGTAGCATCCGTTAGGCGGAGGCGTCCTAGCGCCGCTGAGGGCGAGGAAAGAAACAAGACATAAATAGTACTTTGTTAAGGTATTCTGATTCCATTGACCAGTACAGCGGATCTGATTCTTTTCTATATCTTTTAGCTCAGCATTGTTTGACCCCTGGCCCGGCCAGTATGTGTCTTCTTATCGGTAGATAGATCAATTTGCCTTATAGACCTTATTGACTCATTTTAGCTGGATCTTATATAAGATTGGCTCCTCTTCATCTGATCCCTTGAAGAACTGGAAATTATACCACTATACTCGGCTTCGAAACTGAGGTGGCGACTCTCCCACTATCTGCCAGCGAGAAAAGGGATAAAAAGCTATCTGGTTCATCGTACAAAGGAGTAGTAACATATTGCAAGAGTTACTGATGAGTTTTCATTTCAAACCAACAGCCGCAATGTGTAGTATTTCCAGCAAAAATAGTTGAACGTGGTCCCACCAGCACTCAAATCATGTGATCATCCAGCCCTAAGGCAATACTAACATCACCTCACAGGACCATCCATCACCCAAGAAAATACAACAATAAGCATAAGCTCAAATATTCTCAACACCATTAAACCCCATATTAAAGAATAAGAAGAACACCGACACTCAGCCCCCAAACCCAAAAACCTCTCCACTCACCCACTCCTTCCTCCAAACCCTCTCCTCCATATCCCCAATCCAAACATCCACCGCCGAACCCACCCTCCCATCCTGCAATCGAACCCTAGGCTGATAATCCACAACCACCTTCCCCTCCAGCTGCCCAATATCCCCAATATTAGGATCAATTAAATCCGAATCCTTCAGCACTGGATCCGCCCTCCCCACATTAACATACCCCACAACCCGAACATCTGCACTAGGCAAGACATCCCAAAGCGCATGAGCAATCTTAACAATCTGCGCCGGATACTGCATGACATCCGAGTTCCGCTTCTTCGGACTGAATATGAAGGCGAGGGGCTCATATTCGTCCCTGATGTATTGGTTGCATGCCGGGGGACCTTCGAGGATGGTGTCATCGGAGGTGCAGAATCGGAGGCCATGTTTTATGGGGCGGAGGACGTCGTGTTCGAAGAGTTTCGGGCCGTGGATTGGAATAGTGCTTTGGGAGAAGGATGGCCCGTCCCAGAAATGGGAGTTGTAGAGGCCTTTTTCAGTGATGATTATGATGCGTAGGTTTATCACGCCGGTGGTGAAGGGGTCCTTGTCGAAGGGGGTTACGCTGGTGGAGGCTGGGGATCCGTGGGATAGGGGGTTCATTCTACGGACTAGGTTGTTGAAATGAGACCAGAAGGGTTCTCGTCTTTTTGGTGGTTGGGATTCCATGTTGGAGATAAGTGGAGGGGGGGGATGATCGTGGGACGGTAGTTGGGTTGATATGGAAGATTTATGGATAAGTAGCTAAAAGCTCATATGGAGAAAAATGTAAATGGAATCTTGGACAAGAGCGCTACCGCTGAAGATAAATTGAGGTTGTTGCCGTCCTTTCTAATATATAGCCAATTTACTTTACTTTATCGCCCATTGTTCTTCTGGTCAACATCCAGCATATGACCTTTGTTCTTTTACCATGTTGCTAGATCTACAGCAGTTATCGTGGGAATTGTTGGCTGTCGTTTATCGTCGTTCTTTGTTAGTATATCGACATGTTAATGAAAGCTGTCGGTATACTGATACTCCTATGCACATCTAACGAGCCGTTGTTTCTAATATAAGACGACAACTTTGTAGCTTTGTGGAGCGGCTTGCAAACATTTGCATATTCCGATACATTGTCATATAAGTCAAGCATGATTAGATGAATAAAGCTATAACTTTAAGAGAGGTCACGACAATGTCTTTCTCCCATTACCTATTCTTTATTCAACTCATTCATGGGTTTTCAACTAGCTGTATTAGCTTGTGGCAATGATCAAACCGGCAAAAGAGGATTAAATTAATGAAGTAGATGAACTGAGAGGAAAAGACAGCTTCACTAATATACCCTTTGAATTGGTTGTTTACAGTGTCCATGGTCACCAAAACAGCGATCAAAGACCCGAAGTTCTTTGTATAACCCTATAAGATGGCAATTTTGGGGGGTTATGCCTCCAGACAGCTAGATACGATCGTCATTACAGACTTCTTAAGTCTGTCGGACATATCATATAATCCTTATACCAAACCAAACCACGGCCATCACCACAAATACCATCTGTATGAAAGCCACCTAGAGCCCACCATAATCAAAACCCAACATCTTAATCCACGAATCAACCTACCCTCTCTTAACAAAAACCCCAGCAATATACGGCATACAAGTTCTCCCAAACCACCTCTCGACCTCCACAGCCTCCCATCCCCCATCACCCTCCGCCGCACCTCGCAACGCCTTCTCCGTATCCCGATTCATCCGACAATCCCCAATATACCAGCTCCAACCCAAGAACCCATAAACAGCCTGCATCACCCTCGCAACAACAGATCCCTTCGCCGTACGCCATGGGTTAACCACATGCTCCACGGCGAGAATCTTGCCACCGGGCTTAAGCAAAGCATAGAGCTCCCGAGCAGACTTTTCCAAATCCGGCACAGAGCAAAGCACACGGACGCAGATTATCGAGTCGAATACGCCACCAGTTGTCTGGTCAGGTGCAGTAGTACCAGCAGGCAGAAGGTCTTGTTTCTGGAGAGCGGGGACAAGTTCCGAGGCGGCGACGCTGCAGGGAAGAACATGGTACTTCTCACCTACACCTTCGGCGTCGGCCCTGGAGCGCAGTTGCGCGTGAAGACCGTGGCAGGGCTCAGCGCCGTAGATTGCTTTGATAGCTGGCGAGCGTAGAAGGGGCATTTGTGTTCCTGTTCCCGGGCCGACGTCTAGGACTAAGCCTGAGGCGTGAGCTAAGACAGGCGGGATTAGATCCGAGGAACTTTGAACACCTGTTTGGGTTGGTGGGCGTGGGGGCTGGGATTCGACGGCGTCTTCAAGATTCGCCGCGTAGCTTGTGAGCATGATTATCATGTTGGCTTAATGCTCAGGGACTCACTACTAAAGGAGACCCAGAAACGGCCGAAAGCCTCATCGCGAATTCTTCCGGGCTGGAGAAGTGGAGCGAGGATCTGCCCTCGTTTAAAGACCGCTTCCAAGTTGACTTTGACATGATCTGTCAGGCTTCTATTAGCATAAGTTTACTCGGGAATTGGTGGCGAGGGGATCAGTGAGCATATATGTCTACACCATCGGTAATGCGGCAAGTAACTGCCTTATACTAGAAGATCACTCTACACTGGTAGCAGGCAATGGGTGTTTCTATTGAACTTACACGACATAGCCCAGAGTAGAAGCAGGCTTGGTTCCAGCAGTGATGCCAGCCACATCTTGGTAGTAGGCTCATTGATAGAAGCCATTTGTTCTCAATGGACAGGGAAATGGAAAGTTATAACTGGCTAACCGATCGATTCATCTCTTTGGACAAGGGCAAGAGAAGTGGGATGGGAGAGGGGATCAGAAAGAGAAAGTTGGAAGTTGAAGATGTCCAGCTTCCACGGCGATGCATGACTAATCCTCCGCACCTACCGCCGTATTAGTCACGAAAAATTAACTACAAGGGTTCCAAGTTACAGGATCTCTTATCCATTCATGGTACATATGGTTTCGAACTCCTCAAATGGTGTCTAGATCAGTTCCTGACATATAAAGACAGAGTCAACACGGACACGTGGCGTCAACGGTCAATCTTGCTGTCATTACAGATTGCAAAAACTCAGTATCAAGAGGTGAGAAAAGAAAAGAAAAAAGTATGATGGACGGATGCAAGATGCACATAAGATGAAAGTGGTAGTAAGAAGTAAGGGTCAAGACTCGATGGAACGAACGGCATAAATATATCAGCTTGACAATGAGTATCAACAAAAGAAATGACTAAATCAATAACTCATTTTGCAAATATCACGAATGAATGACAGGAACAGTCCAGACACCTGAGTGGGGATAAATGCCAAAGGGACCAAACCCCCAAGATTAATAATGACTATACATAACACAAGGTTCCAAGAAAGTGTGCCCGAAGGGTGGCTGCTACCGAAAAACAAAGGGAGTCAGTAATAAAATGCTAACACGTGCGCTCATGAGATTCGCATGCTATGAGGGTCGAGGAGGATGGAAAGGAAAGAGATGCGAGCGATGCATAAAGAATGTCCTTGGGAAGACAGGGCACATCTTCACGATAGACGTCGACAGGCTCAGTGATGAGAGTGATGCCGGTTGACACGCGGGCTGTACCGACTTGTCCTTGAGAGTGAGCTAACATCATGCTTGCCTATATTACAAGTGTTAGTGGGTCAGGCACAATAGTCCAAGCGGGCATCCTCTTACCATCGCAGCAAGCACGGACGTTCTCAAGTCGGTCTGTCTCCTGCTCTTGCCTCTCCATCATCTGCCGCAGGTCCTCCTCACTGTCACGGCCGTAGACACTGCCATCATGGATACTAGATGTTGCATAGCCAGGGGGACCCCTTCGGCCGAAAGAGCCCTTGAGCGTAGTATTAAGAATTGTACTGAGTCGGGACGTGGAACTGTTCCTTTGATCGGAATAGTGAGACGGTGTGCTCAGAGCCGGAGAAGCGCGACCGGGGGTCCCTGTGCGGCGCAAAGAGAGAGCAGAACCCGCTCGCTGTTTCGGCCAATTTCGGGTCGTGCGACTCTGCGATGAAGAGATTGACAACCGCGGCCTCTGGCGCGACCGAGATCCTGACCGGAACCCAGGGTTGAATTCATCGATATCTTCCAGGTCATTGTTCTCCTCCTCCTCACCATTTTCTGACCGCAGTAAAAGGTACGAGAGTGCATTGAACCAGGTCTCGTGCCTCTGACTAGTAGTCGCGGTGAACCTGATCCGGCGACCAGGGCTAACAACCTCCAAGCTCCTGCAATGAAGACCTGGAGGGTATGGGTTGTCATCGGCGACAACTCTCACAGCTTCAATAGGAACGCTCTTTGTCTTACGCTCCGACTTGCCAGCACTTTGAGGGTCCTGCTCACTCCAGTACAATGTACGGGTATATGGATGCACCCAGAAGTAGCGACGATGTCTAGTGTTGGAAATCTCTCCGGAGACTGTCTTACGTGTATACTTCCAGAGGAATTCTCCAATCATGGTCTGGGTGATAGCTTGAATCATGCGTGGATCTGTGCCAGAGCCATAGCCATAAGGCCCGCCAGCCGGAGTGGAATGGGTATTGAACCGCTCTTCGATCTCGGATGCGAACGATGAGACCGAAGACCTCCGCGACACCTGGCTTTCGCGCCTCACTCTGGCCCGTGAAGTAGAAGACCTGATGGAGCCGACCTGAGCGGCTGAATCATTTGGAGTGCGCGGGCGTGGAGCGCGGAAAGCGGAAGCCGGAGCAAGAGGAGGCGCCATGAGACCTGGTGTGGCCGGTTGTTGATCAAGCGATTTCTTCTCGGCAGCCATGATAGCCTCTTTATGTTCAGAAGGCAACGGGGGATGACTATGGACAGTAGAGGCCTGGCTGGCTGCGCTGCCTGGTCGCCAATTGAGAGATGCAGCCGATGACTGATGCTGGGGACGGGGCCGCGCCTTCGGTGTGGCAGCGGGTGAATTGCCTTGCTCCTTGGCTTTGTCACTGTCGGGGGGAGACAAAGGCCGGGCTGTAACACGGTCCATGAGAATCTGGTCAATTTGCTTGGAAGACAGTATCGTCTGAGCACCTTGATCTGCCTGGTTTGACGATCGGCGTCTTGCATGGCGTGGGACAGCATTGCCGGAGATAGCGCTCAGAGGGGAGGAGGCATCCCTCTTCTGACCAGCTGTGTCATAGTCAGAGCTATCATTTGCTTCGTCTTCGACAACCACAATTGGCAAAGACTCTGAAATGGATTTGTCGACCATAACACCCTTCGTTTGCATGAATGGTGCGTTTTCATCAGATGGGAGGGCTGCCGGGATGATGGCCGCAGCTGGAGTGACCTCAACAGGGAGTGTTTCCACGGAGCGGATTGTGGAAACCGACAACTGCGGAGAAGCAGGGACGGGAATCTCGCGCTCCTGAGGTGCAACTGGCTCGGTGGCTTCGGGTGGTATAAAAGATACTGTCAAATCTGGGACCTCATGCTCGGCTGGAGCCTGACCCGCAACCACCGTGGGCTCTGGCTCTGGGACTGGTTCTGGTAGCTTCGCCGCAATAGGGTCGGTGTGCTCTGTGAAGATTGTTGACACTGCCAGGCCAGGGATTTCGGTGTTCATAGCACGCTCCGCAACTGAAACTGAAGGCTCGGGCACAGGCTCTGGAAGAGTCGCCACTACAGGCAAAGTTTGTTCAGAGAAGATTGTCGAGACTGCCAGGTCTGGAACCACGGTGCTCATAGCACGCTCCGTGACAGTAACTGGAGCTTCCGGCACAGGTACAGGTACGGGAACGGGCTCAGGAAGAGTTGCCATAACAGGCTGGGTATGCTCAGAGAAGATTGTGGAGTATACCAGCTGTGGGAGATCTGTGCTCGTGCCCTGCTCTGCCATGGAGATTGAAGGCTCAGGCACGGGCTCAGGAAGCGTTGCCGCAACAGGCTGAGTCCCCTCAGAGAAGATCGAGGAGACAACCACTTCCGGCACGTACTTCGGCTCCGGCTCAGGGAGCTTAGCAGAAACGGGTTCAGTATACTGCAAAGAGATGGCCGATAAAGCCATCTCCGCGGGATTGGAAATGGGCGCGGCGACAGGCTCGGTTGAGCCTCCCACAACGTATGACATGCTTAACTCAGGCAGCTTAGGTGCTACGGGAACGGTGTCCTGAGTAGAGATAGGAGAAACATCGAGCTGTGGCAGCACAGCTGCAGAGGCATTGACCTCCCGCTCCACGTTTACATCCGAAATCGTCTTCGAAGTGGCCATCACACTCGACAGTTGTTCACCATTCACTTCAGATGACGTCTGAGGGGAGGCCCACTGTGTCGCAGCATGCACCAACTCTGGTTGCTCTCTCGTTCCAGCAGCAGTGTCGACATCTGAAGTCGCCTTCTTCGTTGTTGCAAGAACATTCGAGACGTTCTCGTCGCTCACAACGGCTGGGACGCTTGGTTGCCAGGGGTCAGTCATGACACCAGAGTCAACCATTGCAGGCTTGGGTCTCGTGTTCAATGTGGCCTGGGATGGTCTTCTCGAATCAGGCATCGAAAGGATACGTGGTGTGGAATCGGCATCGTGTTCTATCGGCGGGCCGAACTCCTCATCCTCCTCGCCGTCAAGTTCTGCAAGTTCTGCAAATAAACTCTGGCCTTCGGAGTCCCCTGGTGTCTCTGTGAAACTCGTTGCTGGGGACTCGCGTGAACTAGATGGCCGGCTACCGGAGGCCATTGGAGCCTCTCCAGAGGGTCGAATCCTTCTCATCACACTCCTCTTGTTTTTGAGACGGTGTCTAGGAGTAGAAGTTCGACTGGGTGAGGGGAACATGCCATCGGAGTCTTCATCTTCTTCCCCTGAAGTGGAAGCACTGCTCTGGTAGGATTTCCGGTCACGAGCCTTTGCCAACGTTAGGGATGAGACACGAGCACGAGGGGTCAACTGAATACGGTCCTCTGTTTCAGTTAGCTCATCAGTATCCGTACTGTCATCAGCCATGCTCTCAACGCCCGTCTGGAAAGCTTCGCTTTCTGTGGTCGCCTCCCGCTCGTTGGCGGTTTCAAAAGCATCGTCAGCCTCAGTAGCAGTGTGATAGGCATCACTAGGCTCATCTGAAGACTGCAGTTCAGGGCGGCTTCGGTAGGATCTCAAAGCTGCCTTGTGCGATGGACTCGTGTCAGTGGCATGGTCTTCCCAATCGGTCTCATGGACCTCCTCGATCTCGGTCGTTCCTCTCCTTCCAGCACCCAGCAGGTTCGGTCTTGCAGCTTTGCGTGAGTTATCAGGTTTGGTCTTCTGGCGCTTGTTGGATGGGCCAGCTGGGGCAACAGCTTCGCGACGCTTCTGTTCAATCTCGTCGCGCGCTTCTTGCAGCATGCGCTTGAGCTCAATCTTTTCGGTTTTCTCTCGGTGAATGGTGCTCTTCAGATTTTGGATCATGCGGTGAGCATGGCCCAAGGAACTCCGCAATGTTTCGGTCTCCAGTTGGTTGTGTCGCGGAGTGAACTTATTGGGTGATGGTGGCGGCGAATTTTCTGGTGTCCCTCTACCATCCTCATCAGAGTCATCATCCCGGTGAACTTCCCGCACGGTCTCGGCTTCTTGCTGCCGAAGCCGCATAGCGACCGCTCTAGCAAGCTCTTCGTTCTGCGAGTTTAACTCTTCAACCTTCTCCTGCAGTGCAAGCCTTTCCGCATCTCCTGAATTCAAGTTCCTGCGCAGGAGATGGATTTCAGCGTCGTTCGCTTTCTGTGCCGCCGTCTGGTCCTCGATCAACTTTGCATTGGTTTGTTTTAAATCCTCCAATTCTCGTTCCAGGGCGCTCTTTTCCGTTGTAACGGCACCCAGGCTGCTGTTCAGTCTACTTTCGCGATCGGCAGCATCTTTCACCGCAGTCATAAGCTCGCGAGTCTGAGTCTCCAACGCCCAGTTTTCGTCCTTATAACGCTCCTCGCTCTCATCTAATGCCCGGATCCGCTGCGTATACCCCTCTGCTTCGAGTTCAAGCCTCGACTTCTCCAAGTTCACAGTTCTCAAAGCCTCCTCACGCTCCGCAAGCAGTGCCTGCAACTGACGGACCTGGGCCAGGAGGGAGGTGGAGATCTCGGTCGCAAACTCGATATCATGGACACGGCTCGACGGTTGGTTGCGCTGCTTTCGCGATGGCACGCTCACCTTGCTGGGAGAGTTGGTGGCCTGGCCAGCAAACAAGGCGGGGCTAAGTGGTGACTGGACCTCATATTAGCGCTCCATATAGTGTGCCGGGCTGGCAAATTGTATACCTTTTGGTCAAACGAGGGGGTCCCCAGATGGCCATCATCACCACCCGCGAGACGTTTCGGGGCAAGGAATGCCCGCGCAGTCTCCCGACCAATTTCTCTGTATTCTCTCTCCAGGTCCACAAGTCTCCGCTGCAGGTCCGGTCCGATCTGGCTCGCTTCTTGCTGTTGCTCAACTTCTTTCAACTTGTCCTCGAGCTCCTTCTGCTGTTCAATGAGCGCTGTGCCTAGTTTGGATGCTTCCTCCAGTCTGCGTTCTGTCTCCGCCAAGTGGGCCTCAAGGGCCCGTTTCACCTGTGCTGGTGAAGACGCATCTAGGCTGAACAATTGTGTATCGAAAGACGAATACCTATGCGATTCGCGGGGAACTACCGCCTCGGCGGGGGAAACAAAAGGATCGTCCATGGTGAAGATGAGTCAATCCCGCTCTACCCTCCGTCCGTAACACCGTTACTTGTGACGGACAGGGAAATAACCAAGCGCCAGACAATAATCCGCAAGTGGTACCTGGTTTTCCGATGAGGACACGGTTGTCGTCCAAAGCCCACAAACTCGTCGCCTCGTTCGTCGTGTCTTTTATCAAGCCAAGGTCATCATCTGACTTGCACCAGAACGATTGATCTGAAAGAACTCCTTGCGCTCAGATGATTTAGCAAGCCGACCAGCGACCGAATGGCCCACGGATATGTATGGCGAAGACCAGTGCGCAGCGTCGGTGAGGAGCGGTTGCTGTGAGGCGACCGTATCACGTTGATGGATAGCGAAGTGTATGATGAACCGATCGAGCAAGGGGATATTGCGTCAAAGTCGCAGAGGCTTTCTGTTTGTTTTGGAAGAGAGCCGAGGATGGAGGGGGGTCTCCGGTAGCGTGCAGACAACACAAACGCGCAGTAGTCGTAGACGTAACCTTGTCAGTGCTGAGTGAACCAACCACAACGAATGAGCGCACGGCAGGAGTCTGTGGTTGATGACTTGTACCAAAACAGCCGAAAAAGGAAAGACAACAAGAGCTGATCAAATCGGGATTAAGATGCGACAAATCGCGCTACGCCATGCGGCGCAGATAATATTATTATATGGCAAGTAAAGTATAGAAAAAAGAAAGGAAAAAAAAAAGGGAGTGACAAATTGAATGTAATGAAGGAAGGTAGTTAAGAACAAATAAAGAGAAAAAAAAAACAAAAAATAAAATAAAAAGGAGAAATTGAGGTAAGGAAAAAGAGAGAGATGTTCCAAATAGAGCCGGATGAACAACGAGACGAGTACCGACTCGTTGAGCGGGGGAAAGACAAAAGAGAAGGAAAGGAAGAATGAGAGAAGGAGAAGGAAGTCACACCGTGTGGGCAGGGGGGGGGGAGTGAGAAGCTGGGGCCGTGCGGGAAAGACAAGACAAGGCCGACTATTAGAATCAGGTACCGATTCTACTCGACTAGAAGTCAGGTATTACTGTCATGTACCAGGTTCCTCTCACTGCAGGTACTGCGAGGGAGAGTATAGTGATTGGGTACAGTACCTCTGGATACGAGAATCATAGGTAAGTCAATTAATTAAATAACAATAGAGGAGAGGGGTGAGGCACACTCCCACTCGATCTGCCCAGGAGTCTCTACTTTCTTAAGTACTGAGCAGGAAACTAGGTTATCCTCGATCTGATACGTAACAACTCTGAGTTGCAGGGCTAACTAATACAAGGCGTTTATTAAGAAAGGACAATCAATTATCCCGGGGTGGGAATGCTGAATGACATCTCACAGCGATCTTGGTTAACTTATCTATCTCACGGTCGATCTTCCGGTTATCCTGGGAAGTTTAATCGTCTCCCAACATCAGCATCTTTACTATTTTACTACTAGATCGATTCTTCCCGGTCTTTTGGGTTGCCAGACCGGATTTGGGAAAAATTACACCTTAACCCAATTGAAGCCTCGCGTCTGTACTAATCGGTACGACTCCTCAATTTTGGGACATCGCTGTTTGTCGGGTTTGCATTTCCGCCCTTGTTGGGTCAGGCTCCATCTGCTTCGTCAGAAAGCAGATGATCGCACGTGACACGGAGAAAGCTTCATTTGTAACTAATCACGTGGGGCACACCGAATCGGGAAAACAAGAACGCCACCGCCGTGAAGCAAGGTCACTTTAGATATCAAGCCAATTATCCGACTTTCTCATTTGCAACTCCCCTGAGCATATCCGGCATTGACTGCTAAGGGGCAATATTGCGCATTGCAGCCAACTCGCCATTCCGATACTCTATACCAGCGAACCGCAGCCATGACTGACGAAACTCAGGTCGCCGACGAGGTCCCTCAGTTCTCCTTCAAAAAACGATCAGCCAAGGCCAAGGCCAATTTTCGCAAGAAGCCCGAGGCGCCGCCACCTGCTTCGGACTCCGATTTCACGTCGTCCGATGATGAAGAGGGCCGCAGAATCAAACGGCGACGCAAGAGCGCTGCAGTGACAGCCTCGTCTACAACCAATGCACCCCGGAGAGACGAAGAACAGCCCGTCACGGCCACGCCGGCCCCATTAGCATCCAGCAATGATGCTACCAAGCATTCGAATTGGTACGATGACGAGTTGGACTCAAAAAATCTCTTGGGGAAGACACGGGCCCAACCAACGTCGAATGCCCCCTCTACATCGGATGGCACGTACAAGGGCGCGGCCAATTACCAGTCTTTCATCCAAAAGAATCCCGATGCCCCGGCAAAACAGTTCGGCCCGATCAAAGCCCCCACTAACATTCGTACCGTGACATTTATGGATTATACGCCGAATGTCTGCAAAGACTACAAACAGACGGGGTAAGTTTATCTCTCACCAATCAGGTTCATTTGAAATTTTATATCTGACCATGGTTTAGCTGGTGCGGGTTTGGGGACTCGTGTATCTACGCTCATGTTAGAGAAAACGTCTTACAGGGCTGGGAATTAGATAAAGAATGGGATAAAAATACTCAAGGAAAGAAACTGGATGGAAAAGTCGTCTCCCAACGTGGGGGTGACAGATCAAAGGACAACGACGATGAGGACGAGGAGCTTCTCGAAAGCATCCCATTTGCCTGTATCATCTGCAAGAAGTCATATCAGAACCCGATTGTCACCAAGTGCGGGCATTATTTCTGCGAGTCTTGCGCCTTACAACGATATCGGAAAAATCCATCATGTGCCGCATGTGGCGCTGGCACCGGCGGGGTGTTCAACACCGCGAAGAAGCTGAATCAATTATTGGAGAAGAAGAGAGAGCGTGCAAGGAAACGCCGGGAGCAGGCCATAGCCGATGGTGAAGAAGTCAGCAGTGAAGAAGTCAGCAGTGAAGAAGAGGAAGAGGCCCAAAGCGCTTAGGGCAGGTATTAGTGGTTGGAATGAGTTGGTAGTCTCAATCATGGAAGCAATAAAGTCATGTCTATTGCAGCAGGTCTGCAAATTATGTATATATAATCTCACGGCAGCTCTAGGTTATCAAAATTGAACAGAAGTCAGCCTGAACAAGGCTCGGAGTTGGAACATTACCAACTACGTAAAGAACTCGGCATCGTGGAAGTTCCGTCCTCTGGCTCGTCATACACTAAAGACCGATGTCTGTCCAGGTTACATGAGGCGGGAGTATCACTCAGATGCCTAGTAGTATGTTGGATACCTCACGTTATGTACTATTCTCCAGCAGTCTCTCAGTATTTAGGACAATCTGCTGCCCCACTGTACCATTAGAAATAGGCATCCATTTTAAGTAGCAACATGGAGTTCATCCGGATGACTATTGAAGTGAGACCTTGCCATATCCTCTGTCTGTTGAAACTCTTAGGGTCATCTTCATTTCAATTTTTTAGTAGCCCGTCTTAGGGCCGTCTTTCGATTGGCCTGTGAGTGCGGCACAAGGGTAGTATTCATTTGATATCTCTGGCCAGCCTCCTTCGCCAGACAAAATCACTCTGCCGAAAGTTAACACACACATTGCATGCCCCACGACTGAGACTCATTAATGGGTACAGCTTTCTTTCTAAACATGATCTCGATTTTGTTATCGGCTGGACACGTGGTCCTTAAGTTAGTCATGTAAAGTAATTTTGATAGCATAGATACATATAGCTTGAACAGTCACTGGTCATCTTCCTCATGGCAGCTTCCATTATTGTCATGATAGCCCACCGACCAAGTGCGACATCCTGCGTGTGCCTCATGTCTAGTCAACAAACTATCCAAAAAAACCCGACAGTGATAATTTCAGGTTCATCATCGTGGACCAGGGTTTCTGCGGACGATATTGTCACTTCAAAGTACACCTGGCCCATATCTCTTGGGAGAAATGGGCAATCTGCTCTGAGGCATAATAACATTGGCTTCTCTCCGCTGTTGTGGCCGGATTTAAATCCAACACCAAGCTTAGCTGGCGAAATATCCGCACGGCCTTGGATACTCATACCCTGCGATATCCAATGTGATGGTATGACAAGCTAAGTCGGCGTCTTAGGTAAATCAAGCCGGAGGCGTCCTGGCTGAACAAATATCCTGTTCGCAGATTGATGAACAAAATGATTGAGGTGCCAGCCATCTTGATCTTTGGCAGCTGAGACTTCTTCCCTCAGCTTTTGCAGCTCTTCCTAGCCTTCTTACCTATTTAGATCAGTTGCCAGACGGAGCACCTTGAAATTCAGGCCCAGTGTCTCTGAGTAAAGATATACCACTCGTTTGTCTAGGCAAGTGTGAATAAAGTCTAATCTTGACACATTTTGGGGTAGAATAGCGAGCTCAAAGCAAGACGCTTGACTGCGCGACTCGTCCTAAAGGGGTTGGCGCCGAGTTCGAGAAGTCTCGACGCAAGTATAGTATCTTGCTCGAGGGTGCTTTCTTAGCTTAGTATCTACCTTCTGCCTGGCAGGTGCCAGCATTTATTGCCAAGTGCAACGGGGTACTGCCGACATTGTTCAGAAATCTACCAACGTCTGTTTCTGATATGGACTTAGCAATATGAAGAGGGGTCCATTGCTCTGCCGTCTGGGTATCAATAATCTCTGGCTGGCTTGTGCACCACCGGGAAGCCCATGATTTCAAGATTACCCCGTCGCGCTTTGTGGACTACAGGGCGGCCCTCCTCGTCGGCCATGTCGACGTCTGCGCCCGCTCGAAGCAGAGTGATGACTGTTTCTACATTACCATTGACTGTGGCACCAAGCAGCGACATTTAAAATGTCTTTCTTTGCCTATTTGCAGATACATTAGCCTTTAGCAAGGCTGTAACGCTTCGTCGTGGCCCTGATATGCGGCCTGGTGTAGAGGTGTATGCCCCGATGAGACCGCGTGGTTAACCGCGGCACCATATATGATGAGCTGTTTCACAATCTGCACATAGCCTTCGTTTGCTGCATAATAGAGAGGAACCCTTTCCTGTGTGTCTGTAGAGTCTATGCCTGCATTTGATTCTAGGAGGAGTGTGACGATTTCCATTGAATTGCTTTCTCCTGCGGCATGGAGCAGCATTTCATCATCTTGACCGGCCTTCTTCACAGCTTTTGGAGACAGACCCAGCAGGAGGCGAGTCATCTTACAGCGGAAGATCTCACAGCATATTCTAGAGCGGCATAAAACAGGTCGTCAACCTCCAAGATAACACCAAACTTGCTGTACATCGATTGGAGAATTTTGATATTTCCTTATTTCAGCGCATCGAAAGCGGATGTCTTCAAGTATGAGTAAGTACCGTCTTCTTCCTATTGCCTAGAGACTTGATGGTTTGGTCCGGTTTCTCAGACCCGAGTATGACGTCCAAAAGGATGAATGTTGCCTTAACGCTGCTGTACTTTGGTGCTATATGCAATTGTGTGCAGCCTTCTTCATCAATTATACCCATTTAGTCTTGCCCCGCGACGTCTTTGATAATTTCAGGGCAATTCAGCACGGCATAATGCACGACAGTCTACCCAGTAGCGTCTTTGATGCTGATATCTACACGGGACTCAAAGAACTGCCTCGCGCAATTAATATGTCCCATTTGCGATGCCAGTATTAGCGGTTTTTGTCGTTTGTCATCATGGGTGCGAATTATATGAGGAATATCTGTTCTCTTCTTCTTGGTGTAAGGTATCCCACACTTCCCAAGGAGGTCAATAATCTTGGTATGCCGTCTGAGGGTTGCTAGGTGTAGGCGCATTCTACCGTCCCTATCAATTTGACCTGGATCATCCAGTAGTTCCAAGAGGACCTGAGCAGTCCTCAGGCAACCTCCTAATCCAGCCCTATGTAGAGGTAGATATTAGTCCCTTTTATGCTCGTTTGGAGCAGGCAACTCTTTGACAGCCATGTCCTCATCGCTTGGGGGTTACACAATCTAGACATTTTTTTTAAAAAGAAAGGTATCACATTATACTAATAGCGCGACAATCTCCTTGATATATGTAGGGAAGTAATAAAAAGGCCATTCAACGGTGTTGAATAATATAACACAGACTCATGTTACAGAATACATTACTAGGGAATGCATTGATATTTAATGATGCTACTAGGGCTGGCAATTAGTAGAGAAGAGAAGAGATAGTTCTAGAAGCAAAAAAAGAGTACTTTGTCACCACCTATGAGTGCGTGCTCAGTATGTGGTCGGTGAGTAGTTCGAAACAGTCAGTGATCACCCATGTGTTACTCTCATGGAAGCGTCGTATTTATTGGCCAACTACCTGACTTACAGAAAAACTCGCAGTTCTTCACTGCAACCAATAAAACCGATTCTGTCCCTTATTTTTAATCTTCATCTTCTCTCTCTCTTTCCTTTCCTTTTTTTTTTTTTTTTTTAATATCCTCTATATCCTTTTTTCCCCTCTCATGCGTATATAGGTGTACCGCAAAATCCCTCATAGCTGCCATGTATTTAGTACCAAAATTAAATGAAGTGTCTGCATCTAAGCATTTGGGTTACTCTAGGCAACAGGATATTATAATAGCAGCAGATGGCAGAGGCTGTTTAGTATTCAGGGTTTATGATCACTCTCAATACCACATACCAATTGCTGCCTGTCTTGAGCCGACGCCAGGAGATAGATATGTCACGTACTCGATGTAGTGCTACTAATGTCCCCGTTAAGTTTCATTGGTGATGCAGGAATAGATTATTGTGACACTTCCGTACCGGTATCACCCTTGCGACAGGACCAGGAGTAGGTTACGCACTTTTGCATGGCTAGAAAAAGACATCCTCGATCGAAGTGCTGCGGCGGGGGCTGTGTGCTGACCTGGAACTGACTTTTGCCATTTCCAACTTTGGTTTTTATTTCCCCGCTCGCTTAAAAGTCCGTATCTGGCATGGCAGACCGATATCCATGGATACGGACTAGTAACTTACGGATTAGAACTTAGCGACCGAGTGGAAGGTACTTAGGGACGCCACGTGCGGTCCATGGTTCTGTCAACCAATTAGGTCCTTTAGTTGGATTTAAGCTACGAAACGCTTCCATTGGTGGTTCCAACGGTTCTCTTTCTCCATTTCAGAACTTTACCGGACATATTCCCAACGGTCAGTTGTGGCGGTGTTTGAATTCCAGTTCCTGTGAGGGCTTCAGCTTTTTGTCCCACTGGCAAAACTTCCAGTCCAGGTTCAAGGGTCAGAGTGTTGTTTCACTAATTTAGTAGCAGAAGATCAAAGAAGGCTTATCCAAGTAAGTTAAGTGTGCAGACACTCTAATCTAGTAGTGGACGGGGGGTGCAACTAAGCCTGATGGGCCAACGCCAAGCTTCCCCGCTATGCCCACTAAAGGTTAAAACCTCCTGAACAAACACAGCCCCCTGGAGCCTATGGCGAGCCTTCCCTTAGTGGCGCCCCAGAGCTTAAGCAGCACTAACGCGTGGCCTAACAGTGGGGATTCCTCTCACTGGAGCTACACCTTCAACATGATGTCCGCGGACCGTCCAATAAAGATATTGGTTGATCCTGAGTTTTCATGAGCTGCTGGTACAACCATCCCATCCCATTTCCTCGACCATCTTTTCTTTTTAGACCTCCCTTCTCGAGCTTATTGAGCGCTTTGGCCTCCCATTTCTTACAAATGTGGAGCAGTTCCAATGAAATTGGAAACACCCTAATATGGTCTAGCGTATCCGCTGGCAACCGCCTACTGTTATAGGCATATTCTGCCGATGTAATATCTGTACGTCACAGGTTATTGGTTCTCATCCAGGCGGTAACAGTGATGCACGGGCCACTATTGCAAGGTATTTGGTTCCAAATTTCAAATACCAACCACATACTCCGTATTCGTACCTAAGGGTTCTTTGCCATCATGTAGTGTTATCCCTTCTCGGTCCTTTTCCTTTCTTTTCTTCTTTCAAGCGCGTTGACTATCATTCATATTTGCCAGTTTGTCTTTTTATGTCCTTCCTTTTAATTTCATATTATTCAATTTTCTTTTTTAATATACTAACCCTCATTTCCCTTCATTGTCAATTCCTTCCGCTACCCTCCCTTTTTTAAGTTCAATTGGCTGTCACCAGCATCCAGGTCCTCCAGTTCTTATATGCATACGAGGCGCCAGTGAACGATCAGTACCCCTGTGTACTGCGCTATATGATATCCCTAGTACCCGAGTAAACACCGTGTGGCAAATACCACGCATGAACTGTCGCTCATCTACCCCCTCGAAACTTCACAATGAGATGCGGCTTTAGGTTAGCATTATGCGCATGCCTACTACTCATCGTCCCACTATACCTATTAAAACTCCACCTAGAGGAAATATGCAGTCAGTATCGCGCAGGCGCATACTTAATAGATTGGCTGAACTCCAAGGTTCCCCACCATGAGGGCTTATCCCACTACCACGCAAAACTAGGGGACAAAGTGATTGTGATGGCCAGACTGGAAGAAGAACCCACCGAATGGGTCGAGCAAGAACTTCCTGAGTACACATTCCCTCTCAACGTTCAACAATGGGCTCCTTTGCTAATAAGGGACCGCTTGAAGCTGGCAACGTGCGATATACATTGTCAACCCCTCGAATAAAACCAAAGCAGACAAACACAAACTGAAAACCACCCTCAACAAGGGCCACGAATCTATGGCCTACCTCACGTATCTGATTGACCATTATGACAACCTTCCTTCCACAATCGCTTTCCTCCACGCCCACCGCGCCGGCTTCTTCATGGCCTGGCATGTCGATGCGCCTTTGCACGACAATGTAGCCGCGATGCGCGCTTTACAGCTTGATTTCATTCAACAGAACGGTTATGTCAACCTCCGTTGCAATTGGAACCCCGGATGCAAGGAGGAACACCGCATGAATCGCCATGTAACGCAACAGGTCTGGGAAGAAGTATTCGAAGGGACCAGCACCCCGCCTCTAAACACAACCACTTCACCCGCCATTACAGACGACCCCTCGTCAGAGAACCGTCAAACCCAGAAATTCCTCCAAGCACCCCAACTCGTCGGCGCAGCATGCTGCGCGCAGTTCGCTGTGTCACGCGAACAGGTCCTGAAACGACCCCGAGAAGACTACGTCAAGTTCCGCCAATGGGTCATCGACACAGAAAAGGACGACGCCAGTAGCGGACGAATCATGGAATTCCTCTGGCATGTCATATTCGGCAAGGAGTCCGTATAGTAAGTACCCATTGCACCAGCCTATCTAATAACAAAAACAACTAATATGGTTTCTCCTTTAGCTGTCCAGACGAGGAACTCTGCTACTGCCAAGTATACGGCAAATGCTAGGACGTTCGCGTTCCTAAGATACATATATATTGTACACCAGCCACGATCATCTTATTTTGTGGGTTTTCCCGCAGATATTTATCCCATGTACTCTCTTTATTCTTTTAAGCATGCATTTCTGGGATTAGACAGGCGTTGTTAGAGGACTTTCGTCCGTTCGGATATACCCGTCTGAATCATCTTTGTTATTTCTTCCGGTACGGTTTAGAAAGCATGTGAGTATATTGAAATATATTTTCTATCTGTTTCATACTACTGCGCAACTACAACATTGTTGGTATAGTGACTTAGTGCGGTAACAGACCTCCCACTATGATTTCGGATTTAGGGTAAAGATACATCGACGAGGGTCAAAAGTCGCCTCAGCGACTTATGCCAGATATGAAATCCGGAATTCTCTAGTTTACTGTTACAGAGTCAGATAGCCTATGCTTTATTGTGGCAAGTCTTTCTTTAGATATCTTTGTCTTGCCCTTGGTTCTCACAATGTTTGGGGGCCTCGAATATGCACACATTTGCTCTGAGGTGACATTTTTGAGTAGGGCTACGTAGTTAAAGCATTTGATAGTGTTCTAGCGTTATGTATTTTTGATTAGAATTATGGAGAAACCTTATCTGCTAAAGTGTGTCTCTGGTAACCAATACTAGCGTCGCTTCACTTCTGCTCTAGGTACTCCTCCACTCGCTCAACGAGATCAGCTTTCTTCCCAGCAGCAGAGCGTCCGTGGGCATTCAGGAAGTCTTTAAGGACAGGTACCGTAAGCTGCACACAAGTCACCCGCGTTAGTTGCTTATCCGGATACAGGCCTAGGGGGGCAGGAAATAGTCACCTTCGATAGAGAACCCTTCTGATAATGGGATCGCACTACATCTTCAACGCCTTGCTCGTCTGTCTCCACCCTCGCTTTCTTGTATGACTTCTGGGCTGCATCTTCGACGTCAGATGTGCGGTCTTTGGCGCTTCGTTTGACGAGTGTGCTCTTCGGGCCATGTGCCGATATTTTCGCGTATTGCTTTTCCAATTCGTCGGCCCAAGACAATACATAGTGGCCGGTACGCTAAGTGAAGGTCAGCAAGATCCCCAGAAAGAATAGGGATGTGCGATATACTTTATCGATCTGCCGATATCGTGGCACTGTTTTGTCTTCTGGCTTCTCCGGGAGGTCTTCATCCAACGCCAGGGCTTGCAGAATGCGATAGTGCCATTGCAGGGCTAATAGAGCAATGCGTTAAAACCACGGTTTATATGCAGGAAGTTGACAAAAGCTTACATGGATTAGGATACTTGAAGGGGTCGTAAGACGCCTTCGGAAGTTGTAATTGCTGGACAATATACCGCATTTGATCGATCAATGGCTCAGGTGCAACATGGAGTGCGGTTTCGGGGTTCTGACGGACGTCATCAGCGAACGGCAGAGGTATTATCCACATTCCCGGAGGGAACTTCTGGACGCCGCTCTCATCTAGTTTCTCTTCTCCAGCGACCATAGCCCCCAGGACTGGGCTGGCATTTTTACGCGCAATGAACCAGACAAGTGCGGCCTTTTTATCCTGGAGGAGTGTCTGGTGCAATGCAGAAAAGACTCGTGTAGAGCCAACAAAATCTTCTTCCGATGGGTAGATGAAGGAGGGGTGTTTAATATTGGCCCAGAATGGAAGTGCAGAAAGAGGCTTGAACCCAATTATACGGATGACAGGATCACCGAAGTTCCTCAGTGACTTCATCTCGTCGGGCGTGAAGGCAACCTGATCACCGCCAAACTTATAAGCTTTCTTGATTTCCCACTTTTCAATGGTGCGAGCTGTGTCATCAGCGATTTGAGTGGTCACTCCTTTCACAATCTGGGGTTGTTCGCCGCCGAGCCAGATGAAGGAGTTTCTGGCAGGTGCCTGACGCTTGAACAAAAGATATCCCGAGACAGAGATTTTAAAGTTCGGTCCAAGCTCCAATGGTATGTTGGAGAACTGCGCACGCCGTGGGACAGATCTCGAATTGATGCTGGACAAAAGGGTATTGAGTAGGGATATCCCATCTCCGGTAGCTGGAGAAGCTTTGGAATCAGTTTGCCAGTATGCTGGGGCATCTGGATCCGAAGGAGAAGCTTTGTAGATGATGTCCTAATTGGTGTAAGCAGCGATACTTCGTTTTGGGTCAATAGAGTCTTACGTCATAGAATTTGGCAGTATCGAATTCATGGTCTGGCCGAGAAATCGGAAACAGCTCAATAGTGACACCGAGGTCGTACAAGTCCTTCGCACGTACAGTTGCAGCGGATCGCAAGCTTTTGTTATTGCCATGAGGATCATCATTATCGGTGACTATGAACAATCGCCGAGACAAGAAGTTAGGGGCTTTCGACGTGAATATTTGGTTGGCACAAAAGAGCACATTCGCCATTGAGACCCGCTCGTCTGACGCCTTAAGTACATCCTCCGACTCATCATCATTGTGTGCCAGTGCTCGAAGATTCTTGACTTCTTGCGCAGAGGGAATATCTAGGTCTGTGAAAAGGTAACAGTGTGGGTATGAAAGGTCTCCTCGACTGTTTTCATCTTCGTCATAGAATTTAGACGCCTGCGTCCCATATAATAGCACACCGATCATGTCACGGGGATTAGAGATAATGCGCTGTTGCATGAGATGATATGCGCATTTTAGTGCGGCCGTTGTGGGGGACTCGTCCGCAGATTTCTTTGAATCGGAAGATGGACGAGGCGTGAGCATAGAATCGCTGACTTCGATGGCAAAAAGAACGGCATCTTTCACTGTTTTGTATCCCTATTTTAGTTTATAATTTGTTAGCCTCGTAAGTTTTGAGGTGGGTTTGGAGGTGCGTACACTCTCGTCGATCTCCTCCTCCTCCTCATCAATCTGGTCGTCTCCGCGAACTTGATCCTCGTCAGCCATTGTGAATGTGTTAAAGAGTCGTAAGTCATAAAATGCGTCAAAGAAAAGCAGCCAAGGGCGATGTTTAAGTAATCGACGCGAAAGTACTCTTGGACACCAACATTGGTACTTTCTTGGGTGTCTGCCTGTCACTCTGCTGCCTGCGTTCCCGCTCTTTCGTCACTTGTGACGCGACACTTCAACCGGACGACGCGGGGAAGACACGAACATCAGGTGACATACGCCAAGACTTGATGACCCCAAGTTAATTATGATTGGTCATTCGCTTCAGCTCCAACACATCCGTCATTTTACCGGTTCTGGACTCTTTGCTTCAAGTCAGCATCTTTTCTGATTACTATTGACCCTTGCCACATGGCCCATTAAAATCCCTATTCCCTTTTCGCTCCGACCTCATTGCTTTATTATCGCCGTTACTTGCAGGCTTTGGTCATTACTTTTTGGAAAAAGAATTGTGCAACCGTCTGTCAATTACAATGGCTCTCCGCCGGACCTTCACGCTTCCTCGGCAACTACTGCGACCGGTAGCTCGCAGCTCGCTTGGATACAACGCAGAACAGCGAAATGGCTTCGCAACGGCAGTCCCTCCGGTCACTCAAGATGCAACTGGCTCCAAGGGTCCTACCGCAATGGTATTCTTGAACATGGGCGGGCCCTCTACGACGAATGAGGTGGAAGACTTTTTGAGCAGGTTATTTGTATGTTTTCAAACTGGCAGACTTTCTCATGGACCAATTTTAATGTTTCCCTCGCTTTTTGGTAAAGGCCGACGGTGATCTGATTCCCTTGGGACGACTTCAAACATATCTTGGACCACTTATCGCAAAGAGGAGAACACCAAAGATCCAAAAGCAATACGCGGACATTGGAGGCGGCTCGCCTATCCGAAAATGGTCCGAATACCAATGCCAGGAAATGTGCAAATTACTAGACAAACTCAACCCTGAAAGCGCACCTCATAAACCCTATGTTGCATTTCGGTATGCCGCGCCTTTGACGGAAGAGATGTATACCCAGTTACTCGATGATGGGTTTGGAAGAGGGAAAGGAGGACGTGCTGTCGCATTTACACAATACCCACAATATTCCTGTTCGACGACAGGCAGTTCTCTGAATGAACTATGGAAATGGAGAAATCGTCTGGAGGGTAGGCGCGCCAATGAGAGCGTGGACCCCTCCGGCTCCATCCAGTGGAGTGTCATTGATCGGTGGCCGACCCATCCCGGCTTAGTAGAAGCTTTCGCAAAGAACATCGAGGATCAGCTCAAGACATATCCGGAGGACAAGAGGAACAGTGTGGTCTTGCTGTTCTCCGCCCATAGTCTGCCTATGAGCGTGGTGAATAGAGGTAAGATTCGAGCCATGGCGCCAATTGCTCGACGTAAAATCTAACTCCAGATTAGGTGACCCGTACCCGGCTGAAGTTGCAGCGACTGTCCATGCGGTAATGCAAAGACTTGGTTTTAGCAACCCTTACCGGCTGTGCTGGCAATCTCAAGTGGGCCCGTCGGCTTGGCTTGGGGCTCAGACCAGCGACACTGTCATGGAGTATGTAAAGCGCGGGCAGTCTGATATTGTCCTTGTGCCGATCGCCTTCACCAGCGACCACATTGAAACTTTGTATGAGTTGGACCTTGAAGTGATGGAAGAAGCCAATTCCCCTGGAGTTAAGCGAGCGGAAAGCTTGAACGGAAGCCCCATTTTCATCGAAGCCCTTGCGAATATCGCGCAGGAGCACTTGAGAAAGGGAGAAAAGTGCTCTCGTCAGATGACCCTGCGCTGCCAGGGTTGTAAAAGTGAGAGATGTCTGGAGCAGAAGAAGTTCTTTGCCGGGGAAGAAGCCGCGTCTCTTGTAGTGTAATAACCTTTCTTCTCTTCTTTTCTCTCTCTTTTTTCCTTTGGGGGTCATATTATTTTTACTTTGTTTATATTATGTACTGTAGGATTCTTGGAAAAGGATAATTATCATTCTAGTGAACATTAGGCCTATATTGTATGCGTAGGGTGATCAACAATCAACAATCGTATAACTCGTTGGAATTTCTTGATTTTCGAGACTGACTATAAATGGGGCACCGAAATCTTGGTTCAATGACTATCAAGGGGTCAATGGCTTGACGCTGCTACTACGATTGGTTCAGGAGCAAAAATGCCGAATGTTGAACACCTCGGCACCCGATAGCCTGGTCAACGTCATGGATGGCTGGCTTATCTTTTGCTTTTGCTCTCCACTAAGCTAAGCTGACAAACGCTCCCCCCCCATCGACTCTTCAACCGGAGGAACAAGGCCATTGGCACTTCGGAATCATGAGTGAAACTTCGCTCCTGTCAAGGTGTTTCTAAAATCCCACCGGATAAACTGGATCAGAACAACCTCTTTCCCCCTTGCTTCCTTATTACATACTAATCACATCTCCCTCCAAAACTACACCTGGCAAAACGCGGGCCGAACCTACATAAAATCTTAATTACAAGAATTAACATCTATAACTGTCAATGCCCTTTTACCAGAAATGACCAATCAAGCAAACTCTTCCGTCGATGCTGATGCTGGCGGGCAACTGCGAAGCAGGCCAGTCGTACCTGCGCAGAATCATCCCCGAAACACTGGTGAAGATGACTCCAAAGGCCCGGCGCAATTGCGCGTCCACGAGCAGACGCCCTTACTTCAACGAACGAGCGAAGAAGGTGATCATGAAGGCTTAGACTCATCCAGCCAGGATTCAGCGGCGTTGAATGCTAGCCTCTGGGGATCTCGGACAAAAGCAAGTGTGCGTGTTTATCTTCAGTGCAGTTCAGCAGAAAGTGTCGCATTCTGATTCGACCAGGTCTTTTGGTTATTCCCATTCCTACTCTTGTATATGTTAGGCTTCGGCGGTGCTGCGGTTCCGAAGATTAACCTGATGGTCTCTCTCACCTGCAGAGACTACCTGGCCAAAAGAGCCTCTAGCGATCCTGGATTTACGTACTTGCCTGTTCTTCTTGGTCAGGACAACTCTCAGTGCCAAATACCGGAAGTACAGTCCCTCGTTGCCCGCTTCCAATTGTATTACAATCTGGTAGTAGGCTTGCTGTCAGCACTGATTAGCCCTCAATTGGGCCATTTATCGGATCGCTATGGCAGAACGCCTATGATAGCTGTGAGTGCAATTGGAACAGTACTAGCAGAGATAATTACCGTTATCGTGGCTGCAAATGCAGAGCGAGTATCGATATACTTACTGCTTCTGGGCGCTACGTTTGACGGCTTAGGAGGTTCATTTACCGCTATAATGGCCCTGAGCACCTCGTACGCCTCTGATTGTACCATTCCGGGGAGACGCAGTGTAGCTTTTGGGTACCTGCATGGCGCCATCTTCACTGGAGTTGCAGCTGGACCGTTCCTTGTGGCTATGCTTATGAAGAAGACACATGATATAATGAGTGTATTCTGTTCTGCGCTGGCCCTCCATGTGCTTTTCTTCTTTGTAGTCTTGCTCGTCATACCAGAGTCACTGTCTAAGGAGCAAAAACAGAGAGCCCAAGAAAAACATGAGGTGAAGCTCGCCCATCAAGAAGATATAGGTTGGTTATCGATGACATTTTGGAACCCGAAGAAAATCATCGCGCCTCTGGCCGTCCTATTTCCACCAGCTGGGCGGCCTAGCACTCTATTCCCTAATTGCGGGGGTGCCAGTCCGGTATTGCGAAGAAACATCATCCTCCTCTCTGTGATCGATACGCTTCACCTCGGTATGGCCCTGGGCACGTCACAGATCATCATTATCTATGCGGGATACATGTTCGGCTGGGGAAATGTCGAATCAAGCATGTTTGTTTCCATCATCAGTTCCGTCCGCGTCCTCAACTTCTTTATTGTGCTCCCCATAATCACGCGAATCTTCCGCGAGGAACCAAGGGAGGACCTGGTTATCTCTGGTTCCGGTGCACTTGATGTCGTCCTTATTCGTGTCTCGATTCTGCTGGATATGATTGGGTTTACAGGATTTGCACTAGCAAATCACGGCTCGCTTTTGATTCTGTCGGGAATCGTTACATCTTTAGGGGGAATGGCCGCACCGGTGTTGCAATCCTCTCTTACCAAACACGTACCCCGCGATCGCATAGGACAGATTCTCGGGGCTAAAGGCCTTCTACATGCTATTGCTAGAGTAATAGCCCCTTCCATCTGCAGCTTCATATATAGTGTGACGGTTGGTAAGTTCTCACAGGCAGTGTTTGTATGCCTGTCATTTGTGTTTGGGATTGCATTCTGTTGCACCTTGTATATCAAGGCACATGGTTAGTAACATCTTGGAGATCTGTTTGTGACCTTGTACTAACGTACAGCAGCTCGACTTGATTTCGACGATCCAAGAACTCATTATACCGAAACCAACGACTACAGGGAAGCCGTTGAGGATGAACTTTTACCTTAATATATAGAAGATTCATGATATCCTGATATTTATTTTGTGATGTATCTTGGGAAGCAGATCCTCCTGTCTGCATTAAACCTGTGTTAGATATGAAATATATGCCATAGTTTTCACTCTGAAGCTATCTCCCCAGCTCTAGTAGTCCTGGGTTGTACAGAGTATATCAGCGAATAGAACGTAGCTGAGATGGCCATAATTGGCCAAAGTAAGAGTGTACCTTGCTAGCAAAGGAGCCATACCTGACGGTCATGTACAGGAGGTCTCATACAAAAAAAAAGGGGGGGGAAAGAAAAACAAGAAAAGAAAAGAAAATAAAACTGCTTGTGCTCTTCTCAAGCCCATCCACACGCGAATGACTAAACAGGAACAAATTAAAGTCACGTGATTAGGAAATGGGTTCACCCGGAAAGGAACGAATGGGACCACAAGCAGTACGGCGGCCGGGAGAAACCAATGCTACTTGCAAACTTTCCGCCGAAATTCATCTATCTCAAAACTTCGACCGTCAATTGCGATAGTTCCCCGGCGTGGTCTCTTGGCTTACACTACTAAGAATTGAGCATCAATCTCTTATTCCCCTGATGCTCTATCAGTGATATCCCAATCTGCCTGCTGCCAGCGGTGCACAGGTCCTATTGCCATGATCACCAAACCTACCCACGGCACTTCGGCCGTACCATCTCGCAATGCCCTGCGTGTCCTTCGCAAGCTGGCCCTTGCCGGCTCAACTGTGGGCAGCTTCTGCACCGTTGCGGCTATCACGTACGATGTCCATCGCCGAGTCCGCGTCGCAGAACGTATAATCGAGAACAAACGCGCCCTTCAAACCTCCGCACCCAATTACGATGCCACTTCCGCGGCGAGGCGACTTGCTCGTATGATGGAAGTCGCAGAGGCTGGAGAGTTTACAAGCATGGATGCATTCAAAGAGGAGGATCGGAAATCACGACAGGCGCAGACCTTGCATGTGGAGGGCGAGGAAGGGAGTCGACATGATGAGGTCGGCTCGAACGTAGAAATTGGATCATTCGAGAGCGCAGCCCAGGTCGACGCTTTTCTCGATGCTGCTCGATTGAATCTGGCTGCAGCAGTGAACACAAAGCAGGATATAGGGAAGCTCCCCGGCCATTGCGACTTTCTTCCGCCCGAATACACGCGACCTACGGAGAACTTCAACCAGTTCAGTTCTGCAATTGGCAAGATCGGCACCATCTCAAATGCCACTGAGCTGATGGATGGCACGGATACATTGCGGGAAGGGCAAAATTCTATCCCGAAACAAATGCAGGATCTTCTCGATCGAGGGCGGCCTATTGATGCGGCACAATTATTCTTGGATGCACACCCTGCTTCACTGAATGGCCTATCATCCGATAGAAGAGAGCTCGCGGTCCAGACATTTTTTGTCAACTGTAAACAGGGAAATGTATTCATCGCAAGAAGCATATTCGAGCGCTTGGAGGAGGTGGACAAGGTCTCACCCAGGCTTTGGAAGGTTCTTATATTCGCATTAGCACGGAAGGGATGTATAGAATCAGTTGCAACTATCTATACTCGGTACATGCACAAATTTCAGCTCTCGCCGGATATGGTAGATGTGGTGCTACGATGCTTGCTCGAATCACACAGGCTCACAACAGCGAAATGGTTTTTGTTTAGACATCTACAATTTGACCGGGATTGCGGTTTGTGCGGTGCATACTTGTCAGGCTTGTGGAAAAAAACAAGAAGTATTGAGCTTTTAAACGGGCAACTGAAAAAGATCTTAACGACGCTTCCCCGTTTAGGAAAGGATCCCAGCGACAAACTTTTCAACCCTGTGGTCAAGGCATACGTTGAGTTTGGTCGATTAGCAGACGCTGAAGCTTTGGTGGAAGACATGACGACTACATACGAACTTCCCCTTCGCTGCCGCACAAAAGGCCTCCTCGTGTACGGCAAGGCTCTCGCGTGTGACTGGGCGGGTGTGGAAGCAGACCTCCAGGAGATGCACGAGCTTAATTTGACATCCCGACGACGTGATTTCACACCTATTTTTGATCGCATATTCCTTGAATACTGGGTATCTCATTCGGGGCACGAGATCCAGGACTTCGTCGTTCGCTACATTGATAAGCTCAATATCGTCCCCGATCGGATCCTGTACAAACATATTCTGGAAGCATTTGTGGAGAAGGGTGACAAGCACATGATAACTGAGTTCACGAGAATGGCACGCGAGCGTGGTTGGAAAGTCCACGTCAATGAGCAAGAGTTCTTGGAGATGTTACGTTTTCGCCGTTTAGCACTTGAGGGAGCCCCCGTGGGCTTCTGGCAAATGCTGCAGGCTGCTCGGGTAAAATATGGACAGGCAGCTGCCTCACAGCAGATTCTCGGTTACGACCAGCGCTCATTCCCTATACCCGAGGTCAACACGATGCCTTTCACACAAAGCCCGCTTCCATGGTATCAAAGAGCACTGCAGGATGTGACACCATCAAAGCCCGTCGATCAGTACCAGAAGCTTCACAAACAGATGACACATTACATGCACGTTGGGAAGATGACAGAAGCTCTAAAGTGCTTCCAGAATGCAAAGAATGCACGATTCCAATTCAAGCAGCTTCACGTCGAGTTGGCTGCCATTGCTACTCTACTTGAGCACGGTCTTGGCGAAGCGCGCGTGCTTGTCGAAGCTGAGTGGCGGGGCATCCGACATCTCATTCGATTTTTCCCTCAGTTCTTCCGTCAGATCATGGCGGTGGACTCTGCGTCAGAAGGGGAGCTGATCAAGATGGCTGTCCTTCGATTTTATCAGCTCTGCTGGTCGAACAAGCGAATGAATGTCAAACATCATATGACGGTGGCCACTAGTAGACGGCTAATCGTGCATAACAAGCCGGAGGTAGCCATAGATCTCTTAGCGGCCATTTACATGTCCCGCTATACCCGCACGTTACCCTTCGACGGGGTTTGCATGAAGATGTTTTTGCGTGCTTTCGCGGCTACGGATAATATTCCCGGAATTCGATGGTGCATCCTATCTGGCCTTGCTCGGGGTAGTGCACTCAATCATGATCTTGTTGTCGAAGTCAGCCGTGTCATGGGAGTATTAAATCGCAAGTTCAATCCTGAAAGTCTCTCCGCGAGGGAAGCGTCCAAACGGGCCGAGCAACTGGAGTATCTCGCATATATCGCCGACATGCTTGAGAAGAAGAGTGGGGGTGATCCTGCATTATGGGAGCTCAAAAGCAACCCTAATGTGAAGCGGTCCTTCCGGCGGATGCTGAAACGGCCTCTTGACGAGAGGCGGATGTATAAGGTATTTGACATTCCGGAGACGATTGAGAGATGGGACGAAGAATACGAATTAGAGGTGCTTCTGGGTCGAATTGATATCAACCCGAAGTCCATCGCTGCTCGATGGAGTGAGCGAGTGGCCCTAGGGCAAATATGAGTCGAGGATTCAGCATGATGTAGCATATATCCCCCTTTCGATTTTTGATCTATTCCTAATTTTCTTTCATTGGTGTCTTTATTTTACTTTTTTTTTCTATTTTATAGAATTGTATATATAGAGTTGCTTCACCGAGATGTACACTAGCGATATGGAACGATTTCCCAAGCCGACTTCTAGCCCTGCATGTCACATGCCAGGAACCAATCAAGAAGGGTGACATGAATATTATCATGTAGTAATAAGAACCAGGATGAGCGCTATCTTCACGAAGATCGTACGGTCCCTCGTACTTTAGGGGCAGCGGAGTCTAAGGCGGAAAACCTTTCACATGTCACGCCACTGCGCCGATATCACGGGTCCTTCGTTGCCTTAACTTTTTTAACCTCTTTCCTCCCCCTTACTTACTGACATTTACTTCCTCCACTCTCATTCCCTCTCTCTCCCTCCTGGCCAATTGTCCCTCGAACCTTCTTTCCTACTCTGAAGGAATATGCTTTGCGGTCCCCGTCAATTCTGCCCAATTCGCTGACCTCCCTCGACCTCTCCCCCGCACAATGGCCACCACCGCCCCTAACGGTCATGCTAATGCGACCCAGTCCGCCGACACGGCCGAAGAACGCAGACGAATCCACCACGATGCCGACGTTGTGATCGTGGGCGCAGGAGTTCTAGGATGTGCGCTTGCAGTTACACTGGGAAAACAGGGCCGGAGTGTTCTACTGCTAGAAGCCTCGATGAAGGAGCCGGATCGCATTGTCGGCGAGCTATTGCAGCCCGGTGGTGTCCAGGCCCTGGAGCGGTTAGGCCTGGCGGAATGTCTGGAGGGGATTGATTCAATCCCGTCTTACGGTTTCTATGTGTCTTATTTTGACAAATCCGTGACTATGCCTTACCCCAAAGAGACCCCGTCGTCGCCGCCTCCGCGCGGTCGCTCCTTTCACCACGGACGGTTTATCATGAAGCTACGGGAAGCAGCTCTGGCCTGTCCCAATGTCACCGTTGTTGAGACCAAGGCGACGGACCTAATCACTTGCTCGCATACCAAGCAGGTTCTTGGTGTGGAGTGCCAAACCAAGGGAAAAAAGGATTGCTATTTTGGACACCTCACTGTTGTCGCCGACGGCTACGCCTCCAAGTTCCGGAAGCAATACCACTCTAATACTCCGACGGTCAAGTCCCGATTCTGGGCTCTCGAACTAATTGACACGAAACTTCCTGCACCTAATCACGGACACGTCCTCTTAAGCGCAAATCCGCCGATCCTCCTGTACCAGATTGGCACCCACGAGACCCGTATCTTAGTCGATATCCCAGAGAACCTCCCATCCGCATCGGTCAAGAATGGTGGTGTCAAGAATCACCTGTGGAACGTGACCCTACCGTCTCTTCCTGAGTCTGTCCAGCCAGCCTTCCGCGCCGCACTGGAAAAGGGTCCGTTGAGGTCTATGCCGAACTCATTCCTTCCCGCCGCACAGAACAAGACCCCGGGGCTGGTGATACTGGGCGATGCGTTGAACATGCGGCATCCGTTGACTGGTGGCGGCATGACTGTGGCTTTCAACGATGTACTTGTGTTCCGGGATCTGCTGAGTCCCGAAAAGGTTCCCGATTTTGCAGACACCGACAGGGTTTTGAAGCAGCTGAAGTCCTTCCACTGGAAGCGAAAGAACGGATCCTCTGTCATTAACATTCTGGCCATGGCGTTGTACGCCCTTTTCTCTGCCAACGGTTTGTTCTCTTACTCCTATACCGCACCTTCATCAAGGTCAGCTACTAATATACCGCTTAGATGAAAACCTCCGCGTCCTCCAGCGAGGCTGCTTCCACTACTTCGATATGGGCATGTATTCCGAGCCAATGGGTCTTTTGGGCGGCCTTATCAAAAAGCCCTTTGTACTATTCTGCCATTTCTTCACAGTCGCATTCCTCTCCCTCTGGGTGCTTCTCCGTGAGGCTCCTCTGTACCAGCTTCCCTGGTCACTTATCAGATGCGCGATGGTATTCTGGACAGCCTGTGTTGTTATATTCCCCTACATGCTCATTGAAGCATTCTGTTAGTATTATTAGACCTTTATATTCCCTTTGTTTCCCTTACACTTATGTTTTCGGAGCGAAACGATCTCTTCTCGTTCAAATTCTTATGGCTTGGTGTATGATACGAGTTTTACTTCGCTTACCTTCTCATGCTGTAATAATATTTCCAGACTGCTTATGATTTATATGCTTTTATTGAGCCAGTTACCTTCCCACAGCGATGATAGAACGGAGATATACAAAAGCTTGTACATACATATACGAATTATACAATTAATATATACTGATCACATGAAATCCGAATCCCAGTATCTCTAATCACTATAAATAGAACTCCCCAAAAGCAAGATCAACAGTTGACAACGATAATCAAAACTAGGGCAATATCAAACCGAAGTCACGGTTACATTAGGGCCTGAACCCAACAGCAAGAAATTTACCCCTAGATACTTCCCAAGATCTTCCTTCTTACGGCACGCATGTGACACTATCAACCATAGTCCAAGAAGCTCATAGAAAAGTCTCGATGCTCTCGAATAGTTCAATCTGCAGGACCAGAACTAGGATATCATCTCTCTTCTCATACATTGTATCCTTCACTCGCAGATGGGGGTTCGCTATGTCTCCGGCGTGTATCGGTAATCCCAATGCTGAATGCAATTCAATATCTAGCTAAGTGACTTGTTTAGTTAGTTATGTATGACGCTGACATAATAGGTCTAGACCCCTGGACGATCAATATTCTGGAATGACACAACTCGTATTGCAGGGTATGGTACTATTATTTGTATCTATTGATGTATTTTACTGTACCCGGACCTTTCTGGATATTTCCTCTTTTAGATATCGAGGGAATTTCAGTAATCATATAAGCATGTAAGTATGTACTCGTTCCCACAAGTTCAAACAAGGAATTATAAAGAAAAGTTTACATTGTAATGACTCACGCATAGTAACATTCCAAACAAAAAGTAGTAAAGTTTGCAGACCTTGCATACTTAAAATGCAGGCATGAAGTATACTACAGGTTTTACATACATATGACTTATTACAGACAAGGTTTATTATTGACCCCTTTGGGATATATTGAACGTACATCAAGCTTTTAGTTGGAGAGGGTTATTGAAATAGTCACCTATAAAGTTATCAATAATAGAAGCACATGCAATGTCACTATTAATCCGACCTGTCATTAACATCTGCGCGGTGGATGACTCTATCTCATCAATTCTAGACTTTCTCCTGAAATGATTGGACTCGTTCATGATATCATCTTGTACCAGACATTTTCTCATTTTTATCATTTTTCTCTTTGTGGTAAATTCCAACCTCTACATTGAACCGACGCCCAATCCAGACTGGACTCGATCGACATGATATGTAACTAAAACAAGGACAAATTGTCTCTCAGAAAAGGAGAAAACGCAAAATATAACACAGAAACAATGACCCACTCGCCTGGCACCCTGCTATGATGGTATATTGACAATGATAATGATGATGATCATGCCGTTTGGATATAATCTGGAACAAACAAGGAAACAAGAAAAAGAAAATAACCCCAGCCAGCAATGGGTAGGAACAAAATCGGTCAATCAATCAATCAATCCGTAACATCGAAATCAAAGGTGGATGTTTGTATGTATAGTAAACTCGTTTAGTTTTGCTCGCTCTTGCTGTTCTCCCCTTTTTGTCTACCGCATTCCTGAGTTCGAGTTGAACAATCCGCGTATACCATGCGGTTGGTACATGCCTTGATGGCGACGCCTTTTCCTGGTCAGGTGTTCGTCACAGCAGAAGTGTGCGCCAACATAGGTCTGCAAAGATGATAGTACAGCGCGGCTAGACATAACCCAGAATCAACTCGAAGCTCAATGGCTCTCCAAGGAGATGAGTCAAGCTCCAAAGGACACAGCCAAAGTAAAGAGCCATGTATCGAACGAGGATATAAAATCAGCGAACAGCTATCATATGCAATTATGCAACTCACGCAAATAACCCACGAACCAATTGTAAACCAGCTAGACCCTTCGACTGCCAAATTCCGTTATTTGACCTTGCAAAACGCCGATATTGAACATAAAAAGAACAGGGGAAAGACATAGACATAGACACAAGAATAAGAAAAAGTCATATACCTGCCATTCAAAAGCAAAAGAAACAGTTCGACCGAAATTATGTCGTTTTCAAAGAGGTATTGCCTCATTTTATACAGCGTCGTAGGATTCAGTTCAAATGTCTTGAACTCCTTTTGACGATAGCTTTGGGGTAACGTTGGATGGTAAGCCGAACGTCTCGATATTTTTTGTTTTGACAAACTGTACAAGTGCTATACAATAGCACGATCTGCTGATAGAATCGTCTCGCGAAAGGTTGCTCCAGCAAGCTCACGGTAAAGTTGAGATGCTGTGAACTCTAACAAGCGAATTTGGGTCCATTCACTGCAATGACATGTGACACGTTTTAGACATCGTAATTCATGCTACTTGGTGCAAATCAAATGAAGAGTGCAGACGATCTCATCAGGGCCTTCAACCGCCTTTTCTGAGAGATTCATCTGCAGGGAGGGGCTCGGCGCCGCCATGGAAACCGTGGCGGTTTTCCGCATTCGACCTGGCATTCTTCTTCTGCTTCTTTTTGGTTGTCTGCCAGCCACTGCTTGAGTGGTTGCCGTGGGAGTCGTGCGTCATCGAGCCAGCGCCATTCATCCGTCGTGTAGGATGGCCACCATTCCGTTCTTTGTCGCCTGGTCCGCCAGCGTGGTGCGAAGTGTCGGAACGGTTTTTGGGTTTCGACTTATGAGAGTTTCCATTGACCTTCTCCGGCGCATCAACGCCATTGGGTCTGCGTTTACCATTCGACGGGACGTGTAGCTCCGGTCCGGATAACCCCTTCTCCGCGATCGTATGTCTGAGACGAGGGTCCTTCTCCGATGTCTCCTGGTGAGAAAAAGCCGCCTTGTGCTTTTCTGGACCAGGCTTCGACGGCGGCTCTGCCATTTTCTCACTGTTCGAAAGATGTAGGCTTTGTAGACGGCTTGACAGCAGACTGGGCTTCCCACTGTGTCCGTTGGTCAACGCGTCGGCCGGCTTCCGAGTATCGATTCCTTGTCGGCCGAAGTACGGAGTTTGGTCGGTTTCCACTGAACTGGTATCTTGATAGTCTTGGGAGAACGAGTCGGAGATGCTGGCGGGGGTATCAGTGTTGTGATCATCTGAAGTCGATGTACAATGGCTCATGGCACCACAGGGGTCATAGTTCTCGGTAGAAATAGTAGTACTGCGCGGTTCACTCAGAGGCACCGACCCATCGACGATTAGGGGACCGCCCGACGCCATGGGCCGTGCCGTTGACCGCTGCTGCATTGACCCAGCCTTAGAGGCCTGCGTATAGCCATTGTCCGGAGACGAACCGAATGCTTCATGGGGGCCAAGTGTGGACAGATAGTCCTGAGGGTTAGTAACGAAGGGCATGATACCGCCGTTTGGTAATGCTAAGCCTACTGGAGTTTGCAGTGGAGACAACATGGTATTTTGATGGTATGCCTGCAATTGTGGCGAGGTGGCAAGGTAGTATCCCACACACTCGGTTGGCCGGCTTTCATCCGAGTATGGAGAACGAGACACATTAGGCATACTACTAGGCATGAAGTTGCTGTCTTCTTCGCTCTGCACTCCATCAGGGGATGCGGGCGTATTACGCTGCTTTGAACCTTGTGGGGAATCTTGCGTCATGGAGTATATTGGGGCAAAGCTCGGAAGAGAGTGAACCGACCGCGCGGGCTGCGACTGCGCTCTGAGTGATCCGCCTGGGGAGCCGTTCGCAACTGATGACCGACGTGGATTGCGCCGAAGCTCTGGCATAGCGGTTGGCGCCGATGGCGATGGTGGGTTAGTTGTACTACTGCCTTGCACGCCCGTGATCGCAACCGGAAGGTAAGGAGTTCCATAGTAGATATGTTGGCGGAGCTGCGTTCCGTGTGGCGCGTGGTTTGCTGTTCCAGACCTTGAGCGAGAGTTGTCGTCGCCGGTTGACTCCTGCTGCTGAGGCATCGGAAACTGTATGAACGGCTGACGGATAAGCACAGGCGGTGCTCTCCCGGTAAGCAGTGCTTGATTTTGTAGCTGTAACCGGAGTTCCTGTTCCTGGGCTTGGAGTATCTGAATCTGCTGGTAGAGATGGTCATGAAGAAGATATTGAGCTTGCTGCGCTTGCAGAGATAATTCCGATGCACTCATACCGTTGCTGGCTTGGCGGAAGTTATTGGACTTATGCGGTGTATTTGAAGACCGACGGCTGCCATTGTGTCCACCACGAGGGTATTGGTGCGAATGTCGCCCACCACGGCCACCACCACGGCCGCCCCGGGAAGACGGAGGCGCTGTGAGAACAGGCCGCGGTTGAGGAGGAGGCCGCTCCCACGACCGCTCCTCCTCGGGTGGATACTCGTATTGCTCACAACAGAGCTCAAGATCCCCTTGCGACGCAGACTTGAATGCTCTCCGTAGTTCGAGATGAACACCTCTGAAGGATGTATCATCCGCTGTATTCCCCAAGTTTCTCGACGTGTTGAAAGGCTCCTCCACGCAGAGGCGATTATTCTGCAGTAAGTGCCACCCCTTGGCTTCCTTCGAAATCAGCTTACCCTCTCGAACGGATATGACGTACTTTTCGTAGTCGAGCTCGTGGCCATAATACTTAAAAAATTGGAAAAGCAAGTCGCCCAAGCTTTGCTTGTTTTTCCGTCCGTACCCAGCTAGATGGCCAAGGTCATCGTCAAATGAGCAAACCAATCCTTCGGGCGAAATCTTCTTCTCGTGGGGTCGAGCCTGAAGACTAGGGAGAATCGGGGGATCTCGCGTTTGGAGAAAGTTAATTATCAAGCATATCCATGTATAGGAGCTTAATGTGCCACCCAATCCTAAGACAAATTGTCAACACCGAGAATTCCAGAGAAAGAATTGCTGCCTTGACTCCCCCATGGTTGGAACATACCGGCATCACAGAGTATCCTCCGTTTCGTCCAATGTTTGATGATCATAGCCAACGGCCTCACACGCTCGTCAATCTCGACGTAGGTCCGAACCATACGCGTATTGTCTAACGCTAATGTGTTATTCACGTTCATGTCGCAGGCTAACTGTAATTCCGGATCCCAAATCTTCACGATGGGAACTTTCGCGTGAGATACACAGACGACCCGTTCCATGCCATCTGCCAAGGTTGTTAGCTGGGAGTCGGGGCCTGGAGGAAGCAAGTGAGTTCCCTTACGTCGTGCAAGAACCTCCGCTAGCAGACAGACCTGCTCGAGCTCCTTATATGTCGTTGTTATACAGATGTCCACT